ATATAATTTTGACCTTGAAGAAAGATTACAGTGATACACTACAGTGAATCTACTGCAATGTATTTTAAACAAGTCTGAGTTGCATATGTAGAAAGGAATCTCTTGCAGAGATAAGAAGGGAAAGGACAAAGAGAAATTCCAAATATTTTGCAGAGCTTAAACTAGCTCTGTACACAAATCCACAACAGGATGCTCTTATGATTTTTGAATACTTTGATTCTTCACTCAAACTATTTGTCTGTATTCTAGCAAGAAGCTGATTGTAGAGTGGGATTTGGAATTCGGAAAAACAGTGAGATTCATGATCAAAAAATATAGATCTGAAGCCCGGCACCACCACTTTTGTGATGGAGGGCTCAATCGCATGAACCATGAGATCATGACTTGAGCCAAAATCAAGAGTTGGACGCTTGACCAACTGAGCCACCCACGCACCCCAATTTCAAGTTTTTAAAGTAAGCTTTACATCCAACACGGGCTTGAACTCACAACCCTGAGATAAAGAGTTGCATACTCTACTGACAGAGCCAGCCAGGTACCCCAATTCAATATCAATTCTTTTATAAAATGAGAACACACTGACTTAAAGAAAATACAATTTATATTGAGAAAATCAGAGAAACACTGAGTAGAGTAGAAAAAAATTAAAGCTACCCAGTCATATAAATGGTCATCACGTGAAAATAGTGCAATTTTAGGAGACCAACATCATGCTGATCGTAATGCTTCCATAATTCTAGAGAGAGAAACATACAGGCATGGAGGGGGTCCTGGCTGGCTCAGTTAGTAGAGCACATGACTCTTGATCTTGGGGTCATGAGATCAAACCCCATATTGGGCCTGGAGCTTACTTAAAAAAATGTAGGCATGGAAAAATGTCCATTCGCAGAACATATATACACCACATGCCTTAATTCTGAATGACCAATTAAGATATTGACTATTTATCTGAACAAAAAATATATGAGAGTAATTATGGTGTACTACTGTGGGATAGTGAAAATCATCCATAGTGTGTGTAAGCAAAGAAGGTTGTATTATTTGTAGAAAACTTAAAAACAGTAATAAAACCAGCAAAAACCTGGTCTGCTTGAATTATCATCATGCTCTGGTAATTTTAAAGAATGTCAGTGATAAAATATACCTCTCCAGAAAAATATTTTATCTAAGGTCTAAACAATTGATGAAGTTATTGTTAAGTTTTATTACAAATATGTAAGCTTCAAATGAGACCTACTCATTACTAAGCACTGTATTGTTACCTATAAGTAGATTCATAGAACGCACAATTATACTTTTTTTTTTTACAAATAGTTTATTGTCAAATTAGTTTCCACATAACACCCAGTGCTCATCCCCACAAGTGCCCTCCTCCATGTCCATCCCCCCTCCCCCCCCACATCCATCAGTCCTCAGTTTTTGTCAGCATTCAAGAGTCTCTCATGGTTTGCCTCTCTCCCTTTCCCCCACCACTTCCCCCCTTCTTCTTCTTCCCCTTGTTCCTCCGTTAAGTTCCTCCTAATCCTCCTATACGTGCAAACATATGATATTTGTCCTTCTCTGCCTGACTTATTTCACTCAGCATGACACCCTCAAGGTCCATCCATGTTGCTACACATGGCCAGATTTCATTTTTTCTCATTGCCATGTAGTATTCCATCATATAGAGAAACCACATCTTCTTGATCCATTCGTCTGTTGATGGACACTTAGGCTCTTTCCATGTTTTGGCTATTGTTGAGAGTGCTGCTATGAACATTGGGGTACATGTGCTCCTATGCATCAGCATTAGAACTCACAATTATACTAATGGCACCTGACACACACAGACTCAGCTACAAGAATTCCTTTGAAGAGTACTTTCAAAATGGTTTAAAATCATTGAAGCTTGCTTTGAATACAGTTCATGTCTCCAATCACCTGGTACAACATCTTGTTTAAACTATAGTTTCAAAATAAATAATGACAGTGCAGTGAATGTTTCTACTTTTAAAGTAGGTCTCAGTATGACTTCTTTATTCATTTCCTATTGCCATTGTAGCAAATTACCATAAATTTAGTGGCCTAAAACTTTAAAATGACTGCAATTTCCCTTGTGTAAATGCAAAAATCAGTTTTTACCTTTTCCCTGCCTCCAAAAGATGTCATGGAGATAAATAACTGGAATTGTACCACATTCTGAATAAATCATAGATGTTTACATGCTATGTTAAGCCTGGCTTGATATCATCTTCTAAATAATGCACAACAAATGCTCAAATCCCAAACTTCCCAGTCTCTATCACAAGACTATCACTTACTAATAGGATTCCCCTTCTTCTAGCTTACAACAACATGTTCCTTACCTCCTTTTGAGCCCTCATCCCAGGCATCCTTAAAGTCCATATTACTAGTGACAGCCTGTTTAAGGCAATTTTAAGGCTTTCTCTATCATGCTCCTCAAAACTCTTCTAGCCTTCACCCACTGCTTGATTACAAAACCAGTCCCACATTTTAGGTACCTGATACTGCAGCACTCCACTTCCAGTACCAGTCTGTAGCAGTTTTCTACTGCTCTGTAACAAAGTACCACATAATTAGTAGCTTAACACAACACCCATTATTATCCTTCAGTCCTGTGGGTACAGCTTAACTAGGTCCTCTGCTCAGGGTCTCACAGGGCAGTATCAGCCTGGTATCAGCCAGGACTGCAATCTCATCTGAGACTTGAGATCCTCTTTCAAGCTCACTGGTTGTTGGTAGAATTCAGTTTTTTCTAACTAGAATAAAATTCCTATTTTCTTGCTGGCTATCAGCCTAGGAGCATTCTCAGTTCCCAGAGGCTATCCTCAGGCCCTTGCCGCATGGCCCCCTTGTCTCACAACACAGCTTTTTGCTTCTTTAAGGCCAACAGGTGAACATCTGCTGCTTTGCTTAAGGACTCACCTGATTAGGCCAGACCCACCCAGGACAATCTCCTTTTTTTTTTACAAATATTTTATTGTGAACTTGATTTCCATATAACACCCAGTGCTCATCTCCACAAGTGCCCTCCTCCACGTCCATCTCCTCCCTCCCCTCCCACACCCATCAGTCCTCAGTCTGTTCTCATCATTCAAGTCTCTCATGGTTTGCCTCTCTCCCTCTCCCCCACCATTTCTCCCCTTCTTCTCCCCCACGGTCCTCCGTTAAGTTCCTCCTAATCCTTCTATGCGTGCAAACATATGGTATTTGTCCTTCTCTGCCTGACTTACTTCGCTCAGCATGACACCCTTCAAGGTCCATCCATGTTGCTGCACATGGCCAGGTTTCATTCTTTCTCAAGGACAATCTCCCTTTTAACTCAAAACTAAATAGTAAATTAAATGCAGGAATGAAATCCCCTCATATTAATAAGGCTTGACACACCAAACAGAGGGAATCACACAGGGCATGTATGCCTGGGATGGAAATCTTGGGACCATTGTAAGAATTCTGCCCACTCTTTCCCCTTTGACCTTGGATGCTGCCTTGGATTCCTGACCTTACAGTGTTGTTGAAGTGTTCCATGTTATTCCCTTCCCTTTTCCCAATTTGTATGCCCTAGTCCTTGGACTGGCGAGCAACCTGAAAAAAGCCACCATAGGCAGGATTGTAGGCAGCCAATAATCTTTATTCTTCCCCAGTCCCTCAGGCAATGTGTATGGACATGTTTGTGGATGTTTAAGAATGAATGAACTGGAGAAGTCAATATAGCAAAAAAAAAAAAAAGTTCTTAATTTTAAACAATCTGTCTAGTATGAAGTATTTAACACTCTCCTACCCATTTGAAAACATATTTTTCACTTTGTGAAAAATCTAACAGATGTTTTAAATATTTTTAAGAATTGGCTAAAGAAAATTCATAGAGAAACCTATGTGCTTTGTGCACAACTGTTGCTGCTGTTTGTACCTCTAGTTCAGCTCTTGCCTAGAAAATAATTCATCAATTAAACTTTTATTTTTCTTCTATGTCCACTGGGGGAAAAGGCCTCATTTTCCCCACTTCTCTGCTCTGATAAAGCCTTATTTCAATGATCATGCTGTGGTTAGAGTTTTAATAGTTTTTATTTACTCTTTGTACTGTCAATGTTGTGACTTCCTCTAAATAGTTTTAGCATCAAGGTCAGTAGGTCTATGAGGACATGAACAAACCTTTACACAAATGTAAAGATAACTGAAACATGCACTCTTAAAAGTCATTAGATGAGAAGAAACCCCTTCCCAATCTATATAAAATCAATTGATCTATTTTTTGAGTCTGATAAAATATTTAAAAATGTTCATTTTTACATTTATACATACTGTATAAATTTGTTATTGTTCTTAGCATTATAAAAGGGAAGCCACTCTACCAGGCTTTATATTAATTATTAATTTGTGCTTGCTTTCAGGTAACAACTTGGGTACCAGAAGAGAAGCAGTTACTTAAGTAGGTCCAGTCTCCTTCTAATGTGAACTGGGCCATATTCACTAGTCTGCTAGGTTCAGGCTCCTGCTCTTATCCCCATAGAGTATTCATCAAATATTTTGTGAGATATATCAAAGAAATTAAGAATACTATACTTACTCAATACCAAGAGTCAACTCTTATATATGAAATTCTAATCCCAAAACCATATACAGGGCACCTGGGTGGCTCAGTTGGTTAAGAGTCCAGCTCTTGGTTTCTGTTCACGTCATAATCTCATGGCTCATGTGATTGAGCCCCGCATTAGGCTCCACACTGACAGTGAAGGCTGCTTGGGGTTCTCTCTCTCCCTCTCTCTGCTCCTCCCCCACTCACATGAGTGAGCACTCTTTCTCGCTCAAAATAAATAAACTTTTCAAAAAGCCATATACAATTTAATGGGTTTGAGGAATGTTCATTATAGGAAACAATGATAAACATTTAAAAACAGGCATAAATCATTTTATTTGACATGATAAAGAGATTATATACCTGAAAAAAATCTGAAGTGTCAAATAATTTGAAATATATTTTACAAGTCAGTCACAGATAAAGTCATAAGAACCAAAAGGAATTTATTTGTAAAATTTCTTACTTAACCAATGGTGAGAACCAAGACACACTATACCAAGCAACAATTAACTAAGACCCCACTAATAGTCTTTAAGTCAGTTCATATAAGAGAACAACCAAAGTAGCTCTTGATTATTGGGCTAGAAAGATGCCCTTCTGCATGTCTTTCAATTGCACAAGGACATATATTTAACCACGGGGATCTTTGCAAGCAGTATCATGGTATCTATAAACTTAGTTGAGTCACAGCTTCTAGACAGCTATTCCTTGTCTAGCTTACACAGCTGTTTCACTACTCTTGTTGATTTCTTTGTTGGCTTCTTTCTCTTTTTCTTCTCCTTCGTTGGTTTTCACTTTTTCTCCTCTGTTGGCTCCTTTCTCTTCTGCTCTTCCACTGTCAGCTTTCTCTCCTTCATGGTTGCATTCTTTCTCTTCTTCTTTGTCATGAACACTGATGTAAACTGCTTTGTTATAGCCTTCCCGGTTCCGAGCAATTTCAATGGCAAAAAATTGTATCCTGGGGGCTGAAAGGTGAATAAGATTGATTATTGCTCATAGTCACAGTTACTTCTCTAAACCTACTGGAAATCTACTGACAAAGCTGAACTAACATTCAAAGCATTCTAGAACAGTCATAAACTTTAGATATGTGGAATTCTAATTTTGATAAATGAGGCTGAAAATACTCAACAGTCTTATCTCAGGTATTCGACAAACAGTAACATGATCTTTAAATATATATGTATAAATATGTACATGATCTTTAAATAAAATGATCCCCAAACTATTCATGTCATTAATTCTTCAGTAAAACCAGATCTCTCACTCTCTTTATACAGAAACAATTACAAAGGCAAGAATCTCACCAAAGATGGTGTTTTCCTCAGTGTAGCCCTGAGAACAATCCAGTCGCAGCAAAGTACCATAGTTGAAGTCTTCTACAATCCCGTCAAACTTCAAGCAAAATGGCCTCCACTTCTATAAAGGCAAAAAAGATGCCCTAGATGACAAATGCAGGAAGCTGGTGAAGTCAGGCCAGGAAAGGCCTTCCACTTGATCAGTAAGAAAAATAGACATAGTGAAAGGGATTAGGACTGAGCTGATTTCTAGTTTCACTAGCATTGAGTTTCTGTGGTATCTATTCTCTTTAGACTGGTATTTCACAACATGAGCAACATTTTAACTTGACAAAAATATTTAAATCTTTGACTACAGAATTAAAATGTGATTTAAAGATTTTTAATGTTTATTTTTAAACGTTTTAAATGTTTTTTAAATTTATTTCTGAGAGAGAGAGACCGTGTGAGCAGGAGAGGGTCAGAGAGAGAGAGACACACACACAGAATCTGAAGCAGGCTTCAGGCTCTGAGCTATCAGCATAGAGCTGGATGTGGGGCTCGAACCCACGAACCATGAGATCGTGACCTGAGCCGAAGTCGGACGCTTAACCAACTGAGCCACTCAGGCGCTTCTAAAACGTGACTTAAAAATTTTTGAATATTTGGGGTGCCTGGGTGGTTCAGTCAGTTGAGTGTCCAACTTCAGCTCAGGTCATGATCTCACATCTGTGGATTCGGTCCTCGCGTCGGGCTTTGTGCTGACAGCTCAGAGCCTGGAGCCTGCTTCAGATTCTGTGTCTCCCTCTCTCTCTGCCCCTCCCCTGCTCTCTCTCTGTCTCTGTCTCTCAAAATAAAAGACATAAAAATTTTTTAAATAAAAATTTTTAAAAAGTTTTTTAATGTTTATATTTTGAGAGAGAAGCATAGTGCCAGTGGGGAAGGGGCAGAGAGAGAGGGAGACACAGAATCTGAAGCAGGCTCTAGGCACCAACTGTCAGCACAAAGCCGGCCACGGAGTGCACGTTCATGAACCCAAATTCATGAACCGTGAGATCATAACCTGAGCCGAAGACAGATGCTTAACTGACTGAGCCACCGAGGTGTCCCTAAAATTTGATTACTTAAATATACTGTTTTGTTTTTAAGTTACTGTTAACTCAGCCCAAAATAGCTATTCATCTTCCACTGAAGCACAAATAAGACGAAGGTGGCAGGAATGTGGCATAAAGTCACACAGTTAAATTTTAAGAATGAAGTCCATTTACTAGAGGCAATTTTCCAAAGATAGTAACAACCTGCTAAGAGTTAAAAGATTACATTTTTCATAAGCCAAGTACCTATCCTCAGGGAAATATTTTCCCCACTATAAGAGTTTTAGCACACTGTAAAAGTATAGGATAATCAGGTAAGTAATGTGAAACCTAAGTTTTCCAATTACCCAGAGCCCTCAATAATGTGAAGTTAAATCCAGATAATTCAACACCTTCCTGTACCCTATTTGCCAATCATCCATCCAAGCCTTCCAGCTAACCCACTAACATAAGTAAATATGTTCCTCCACCCCTGAAAGGGCTAGGTAGGAAAGGGATGAAATGTCCAAGTTAAAAAAAAAAAAAGAAGAAAGAAAGAAAGAAAAAATAGATCCAATGAACATGAAAGACTCATAAACCAGGAAAACATTTATTTCATTTCATGACTTACTTATTAGTTGATGATAACTACATTAAAGCCCTGATTCACCCTCCTAGACTATTGATAGGAATATAAACTGGTGCAGCCTCTCTGGAAAACAGTGTGGAAGTTCCTCAAAAAATTAACAATAGAACTCCTCTATGACCTAGCAATAGCTCTGCTAGGAATTTAACCAAGGGATACTGAAGTGCTGATGCATAGGGGCACATGGACCCCAATGTTCATAGCAGCACTCTCAACAATAGCCAAAACATGGAAAGAGCCTAAGTGTCCATCAATGGACGAATGGATCAAGAAGATGTGGTTTATCTATACGATGGAATACTACATGGCAATGAGAAACAATGAAATCTGGCCATGTGTAGCAACATGGGTGTAACTCGAGGGTATTATGCTAAGTGAAATAAGTCAGGTAGAGGACAGATACCATATGTGAAACAGGAGAAACTTAAGAGAGGACCATGGGGGAGGGGAAGGGGAAAAACGGTTGGGGAGAAGAAGGGAGGCAAACCATAAGAGAAACTTAAATACTGAGAACAAACTGAAGGTTGATGAAGGTGAGGGAGAGGGGAAGAGGGGTGATGGGTATGGAGGAGGGCACTTGTTGGGATGAGCACTGGGTATTATATGGACACAAACTTGACAATAAACTATAAAAGAAAAAAAAAGAAATGTTACACAAGAATAAAAAAGCCCTGGTTCTTTACATATTTCCTTAAAGCTGACAGAAAAAGTTTAAAAGTATAAAAATGTATTTAAAATCAATAATTGTTGGTCAGATGCTAGGCAATATTTAAGAGAGAGAATTCTTACCTCTTTAGCTGATTCTGATTTGAGCTCTTCTGGGTCCAACACATCTATCCTGAGTTTCTCAAAATTTTCTCGAAACTCAGAATAAATTTGGTCATCCACTTTGGTGAGTTTCAGGAACTGTGGGTCAACTGATGAAATCAGCTGCCAGACATAAGATAACATGCAGATGCTAGTCTCTAATTTACTATACTTTTTTCCTCCTTCCCCAGAAAATCCTTATGGTTCTAAGGGCAAAAGACTTTATTAGGAAGTACAGATGGACTAGATACCAGTTGAAATCATGACATTTTCAAGGGCCATGATATACTACAGTCCTTTCCACCAATTAAACCTTTTTGGTCCTAGTAACGTCTGGCTATTGTTCTCTCTGAATTGTTCATTCACTCATCAAACATTTATTAATTGCCTACTATGGGCTAAGAGTTATTTTGCCACTTAGCATCAGAACACTGGGCAAGGAAGTACGAGTCCTCACTGTCAAAACAAAATTCACTTCCACCCTCTTATTCTCTGTGGGTAAGATCTTACAATAATAAAATGATCTCCAAAATACAAATGCTTAACTTGCTGAGCATAGTCATTAGCAAAGAACCATACACTACAATTACATGTTTAATTCTGCTTAATAATGAAGACAAACTCACCTTGTAGTAAACTTCAGCATGCTGCATTGCTTTCATGGCCCAAGCCATCTCAATATCAGGCTGCAAAGGAGTGAAGAATGCCAGGTCAGAATCTCCAAATCCTGGTACTAGAGAACAAATTAAGGATGTCTGTAGAGGTCTAGTTAATGCTAAATAATACTACCAAACTTGGTGTTACTGTCAAAGGATAAAAACTGGAGTAATGGTTCTGCACAGTATAAAACTTTTGTCCTTATGAAGGAAACTACCTACCAAAAGAAGCTACCTAAACAGTATAATCGACAGCAAAAGCCACTGGCTCTTCTCCCAGCAGCTAGTGAAAACATGGGAGACTACATATAGTGGTAGATAAATTGCCTTCTCAGGAATGAGTTAAATCATTGTAAAACTGACTGAAATAATATAATCACACACAATACTGAGTTGTTGGGAGAACAAAGATAATAGAAGTGAAATATTCTTCATTTTTAATAGTGTAGCATGTTACAACCATCATTTGTGTTTATCAGATAGCCATTTCCCATCCTATAACACTTAAAAATGAATCAGTATTGTGAAACAGGCTAGGTTATAAATAAGCCTTACAGTACTCACCACCTGTTCCATTAAAATCTCCCATTTCAGCTAGATGGATCTATTTCACTGACCCCAGAAAAGCCACTTGCATTTTTACCTCCACATCTTATACCAGGTCCTTTTCCCAACTGCCAACACTTGTCCTTTATCCATCTATACTTTGAGGATCCAGTTAGAGATTCACCTTCTCAGTGAAGTCTTAAGACCTCTACTGTCTCAGTTCTGAGGGGTTTCTTCTTGGAATAAACTCCTTTGGATCTTATACCCTAATCTAGTATACATCAATAATATTTTTACTTGAGTGTTACTATATTGTCATGTCCAGGTTTCTTCTATCTCAAAAATATCATATGCTTTTTGTAAGAATCTAAACAGGACACACCATAAGTCAGTGCCACTTTACTGCATAAGGTTATCACTCAGAAACCTTTAAGAATGAGAGACTCCACACTCTCAACCCCTTCCCAAATATTTTGATTTAATTGGTATAGATTGTGACCTGGACAATAAAAGATATTTTATTGTCTCAGGTGGTTCTATTGCAGCAAAGTTTGGGAACGATTTTTATTGGCATTTGTCCTGGGTTTGTGGACCAAATAGATTAGAATTAATAAAAGGTGCTGTCTCTGGCCGGCAAGGCAAGGGTTCACAGAAGTTATCAGGTCAGGGGTTTACAATTTCGTGTTAAGCTCTGCAGACTTCCCAGACTAGTTCGGTGAGTAGGAGCTGGGGGTGAGTCATACTCACATCGTTGCCATAAGACTCGGCTGGGAGAGAAAGAGCATGTGCTACAGACACCAGTTCCCTGGAAACCTGAGAAGGGAACAAGAGGGGAGTAGGTGTTCAATGCTCCACCAGCTCGACTTCCCCACCCGATACCAGAGCAGCGTCTCACCGGCTCAGCAGTCCCACTAGTCGTCTCCATGTTGCACGCCACAGAGAAAGACCCGTTTCCCGGAAACGACTATCTGCGTGCTCTTTCCGCAATCAGTTGGAAAAAGAGGACCGGACCAGAGTGGCTCTCTTCCGGTTGCGCCTGCGTGCAATCTGCCTCGCCTGGAGTTGGGTGGAGGCGGAGTCACTGGCCCCGCCTCCTCTGTGCTGCCCTGGCTCAAAAAGGCGTGGCCTTGTTGCACAGTCTGAGATGCTTCAGGAAGTCTCCAGTGGTTGAATGCTCATTCATATCAGTGGTGATCATGTGAAAAGCCTGAGTTAAAGCTTTCGCTCGCCAGCTGCACTGACTGACCAGCATAGATTTGGATTCACACTCACCATTTTTGCAAGCAGGTGCATACACCCATAGGCCACATCTCCCCAAAACTCCAACTTGAGAGGAAATTACAAACAAGCATGGTGCTAGGCAATAGAATGAAGGGATAAAGAAGTTAGTCCCTGTTTTGGAAGAAGTACATACAGTGAGAGGGAATCTAAAGTGGTTATCACTAAATAGCATCAAGCACTGTGAAACATAAATAGAAGATACATAAACTGAATTATAAAGGGCAACCAGCAAAGGAGGTAAAGCAGGCAAGGAAAGGCACTCCAGGGAGAGGAAAGTGCATGTAAAAGGAACTTAACAACTAAAAACCATGGGAACTTACCACAAATGTAAAAAAAAAAAAAAAAAAAAAGCCACAGCTGCAGTAAGAGTGTAGTCATTTATAATCTTGGGGGAAAAATTTGGCTTTGTAGGCTGAATAGTAGGAATTAGAGACATTAACCTAAAAGCAATGGTAGGCTAATAAAAATCTTTAAATAGACAGCCTTGTGATTAAAATAAGTTCTAAGAAAGACAAGGTGGAAGATGACTTTGATGAAAGCAATTTTGCAAGCAGAGAGGACAAAATGATGGCAGTGGATGTTGGAAAAATAAACAAGGCAGTAACAGTTAAGATAAATTTTGATAATTAATAAGGGAAATAGAATCCATAGAACTTATTGACTAATTGGATATGGGGAATAAAGAAGAATCAGGATTCCAGTATGAGTC